TGTAAATGTAAGCCAGTCTTTTTTTTTTAATTGTCCTAGGCTGCATTACTCTGATGACCCCGTGTATATCATCCTTGTTTAATATTAGATGAAAAACAAGGGTAAAACGATACATGAAGGCAGTTGAATAACGTTTCTGAATACAACCCTAATGGTATCGATACTACACTAGGAAAAATTCCGATGAAAAAAGTAACTTAAAAGTAAACTTGAAGTTACTTTTTCAGTAACTGTAACTGTAACGAATTACTTTTTAGAGTCAATAACTCTTGTAACGGTAATTAATTACTTTTTGAAAGAGAAAAACTGTAACTGTAATTAATTACTTATACAAAGTAACTCCCATCCCTGTTTAATACATAAAGATATATAAACGTTTCGATCTGATCATCTTCAGTATTAAAATTAAATCTTTATATATTCGACATAATTAAGCGACTCATTCATTACACACATATTCTACGGTTATATTTCGAGATTGTTCATTTCTACTATTTAACAATTATCCATTATATCTTGCATCTAATAAATACGTGACTATGTCCAACATAGTTGTTCGTCTATTATATTCCAATTTATGGGCCGCACCCGATTTGCAATTCTCTTAAATCAGATCCCATACTTGGTTGTATCATAAGAAGATGAATGATTCTAATGCAAGTTACATAATAAGCGGTCAAAATTAAATTTATCATACATGATTACTAAATTGTCATACCTTTCCATTGTGTCATAACGTATTAAAATTCATCATTTTGTCCATTTATGCGCGGTCTTGCATTATCGTGTTGCAGAATAAGGCCTTTTCTGTTGACAATCGCTGGGCACTTTTCAATTAAAGATTGATTTACTCGATCCAATTGTATACAGTAAAGATCTGCATTCACAGTTTGTCCAGGTTTCAGCACTTCAAAATGAACGACCCCGCGTATACTCCACCAAACACACAAAAGCGCCTTTTTGGAGTGTAAACCTGGCTTAGCTGTACTTCGTGGCGATTCATTCGGAGAGAGCCACTGCCTTTTGCGTTTTGGATTATCATAGAAGACCCATTTTTCATCTCCAGTGATCAAGCGATCAAAAAACGCTTCTGTATTGTGCCGCTGAAGCAATAAGTTGCATGTGGTGGACCGGTTAGCTTTGTTTTCTTCGGACAGATTATGCGGAACCCAAACACCTGCTCTGCTTACTTTACCAATCTGCTGCAAATGTTCTTGGATGGTCAAGGTTGGTTAAGAGTGTTTGACAGTTCCTCGATTGTCTGACACGGATATGCTTCCACTTCCACCCTGGGGTGATTCCGATTAACCACGGCTCGATTGGACACCACCAATCACAGCGACCGGTGCTTAGGAGCTTTGTAGTCTCAAGCGCTGTGAGTGGCTCGTGTCCAATTGAGCCGTATCCAACTGGGTGCCACCCTTCCGCCCTTAACATGTCATTGTCTAAAATTGTTGGTCTTCCTGATCGATACGAGTCGGAAAGATCAAAATTACCGAATTTGAACTTAGAAAACCACCTTTGGCATTTACGAACGTCTAATGCACTTGGATAAACATTGCAAATGTTTTTGGTAGCAACTGTTGCGTTACTACCCTTGTGAAACTCAAAAAGCATACAATGCCGGATATGTACCTCTTCTGGTATTTGGCTGGCCATTTCACCATAAATAGCAAAAAAAATTTAAGATTTAATTATTTACGAGTAAACAAGTCACTCTAACCTTAAAATGTCTTTGGCACGACTTTGAAGTACACAATGAGCTGATAAATGACAAACGAACATCGACATGCGCAGAAACGACATTACTTTCTGGTCCCCCTAATATATTACTGCCTAAATATTACTGCCAGTAATACATGTGTAGTAATGGTGTTCAACAGTTGAGTGAAAGTTCGCTGTTATTTATGTATTCTTCCAAAATCATCCAATCAGATTTTCAGATCTAAAAGAATACATATATAGCAGCGAGCGCTTATTCAACTGTTCAGACTGCATTCAATATAAGAAGCTTGTGGAATTTTTTCGATGATGCCAAATAGAAATAATACTTCAGTAATTATTTCTGGCACTTCTCTTTTAAATTTATTGAAAACCGTTACTGAAATATTATAATATATAGCTTTATCAGGAATCACTAAAAATATTCCAAAAAGCCTCTTAATATAATATGTATAATATTGTTACGCCGCCGCCTGCTACGCCTTGCTGGTTTCTGGTGTCGCGTTGCCAAGGGGACGCGTCGTTGTTGACAGAGAACGTCCGGCAGATCTTTGGAGAGACGTCAACACGTTCGGGCGTGTT